GTGTGTGTGTGTGTGTGTGTGTGTGTGTGTGTGAGAGAGAGAGAGAGAGAGAAATCTTGTTTTATCTTGTATATTATTTCTACAAATGATTTATTATCATGTAGTTCGTTATAATAGTAAACGTATCTAAAATATTTTTATTTTTATATCTCATATTTATTATATCTTATTTATTAATTTTATATATTTTATGTTTATAATATCAAATGATTTAATATCATTATATTATATTAGAACATTAAATAGCTTATTCCTTGGAGAGGGAACATGTTAACAAAATGGAAAAGGATTATAATTAATATTTTTTTAGTATCTCAGATTGTGTTTAAATGTCCGAACATTTCGGCGCACGATCACATTTGAGATAATTAAATTCTTGAACAAGAATTATATTATTCGAACATCTAACTTTGACCGATTCTAGGCGCTCTCTCTTTGTTTGTATGTTAACAAATATTCTTTCATAATAATTTGAAATTAAAAATTATTTTCATTTTATTTTTATCTATTGTATTTTAAACGTAAAAATCAACACATTAAATTTAAATAAAATTGAAATGAATAATGATGAAAGTATAATATTGTTAATATTTTGTAAATTCAACTTAATTTATTTAATCATAGATACGACATTTTGTTGGAAGATAAATTCTTTTAGAATACCGTGTTGCAACTATATAAATATTTTGTAAAATACATAGTATTCTTATCGATGACAGTAACTATAAATATCGTTATCTTCTTTTACATTTAGCACTAAAATGAAGATATATATTATTAAATGTACGACTTGGAGAACAAAATGGTTCAGTAATTTAGATGAATATAATCGTTGGATAAGATTACTGAGAGGAAATTCCACGTGGAATACATTAGCATTATATTAACAATATCTCCAGCATCGTTTTCACAGACGAAAGTAGGCGCTACTAAATGTTTAGATATAAATAGTCGAAAATTGTTATCATTAAAATGATATTTAAATATTTATATAATACGAATATTTATATAAAAAAATTATTAAAATTATTAATATATTTTATGTTTTTATCTCGGATTTAATGTATGTGGACGTATGTATTTAATGTATATATTTGCACATGTATAGAGATGAGTAAAAAACTAAAGATAATATAATTGTAAAATGTGTTCGTTGATATGTAAACGTTCATATTCCAGAGTAAGAAAGTTTATATAAAGTCTATACAAATATTGCTATGTACATCTAAAAAGGCTACAAAACCTCTTGCCATAATACCACAAAGATTCTTTTTATACAAAAGGAAAGAAAATATTAGAGATGTGCACATTTACTTTATAGGAAATGTACGAAAATTTTAAAGGTAATTCCGAAAATGGTGCCAGCGAGTTGCTACAAAAACATTCGATTCTTACAACCATCTAACGATAATATCTTTCGAAGTATCTTGTAGCATCTCTAGCATCGATGCAGAATCTGTGTTTTGTGTGTGTGTGTGTGTGTGTGTGTGTGTGTGTGTGTGTGTGTGTGTGTGTGTGTGTGAACCAAAATAAAAAACTTATCCTGATTATGTAATTAATATAGTCGTGAAGTATTTCGTTAAATAAAATCGGTAATTAAATTAAATTTAGATTCTATATCACAATCGAAAGATAGACAGTTTAATTAGAAAATATTTTATCACAAATTTAAAATATTCTTTTGCAACGATAGCAATTAACGCAGACCTTATTTTAACCTAGTGTAATAGAATTTTTATATTCGTATATTACATTCCAACGTTAACAGGTTTTTCTACATGCGAAATCAATCTAGTCAATGACTGGTCATAATTCGAGTACAATACATTGAATTCTATGGAAGATAATAAATCTCAAGAATACACATGATATCGCGCACGCAATAAATCGAACATCGATCGATTACGAACATAATCTAACAGATAATGCTTCCTCGTGCTCTCATAAGTATATGTGTGTATGTGTGTGTATACATCACGCAGAGATAATGAGGTCTTCGTAGATCTACGATCATTGCTACCATCAGGTGTTTCTATGAACTCGCTTCGTGCGGTTTATCGCTAATAATTTATCCTCGAATTTACTATTATCTAGTATTTGCTAAAACTAACAATGGCTTAAAGAATGGAAAAATTAAGGGAAACGCGAGCCTTTAGGAATTATTAGATTATACTTTGTGTAGCTCGTGATATCTTGATGAATAATTTTACTTTTATTACTACACAAATGTTAGTAATTAATATTTGATTTTACGCATACATATGAGTTTTTCATACAGTTAGGAATATAATTGGAAACATCATAAAAAACGTAGCATATGTATATATCTATGGATTCGATTAAACATGTTCCAATAAAGTACTCCCATCTAAACAAAAGTATTTAAATAAATTAATGAAGTAAGGAAAATACATTATATTGCTAATTTAAAAACTCATCAATAAAAACATATTTATTGCTTTTCATTATTACCAATTTTACTTTCATGCTCAAATATTAAAACATGATTTGTAAAGCCATCAAGTATATAATGACTCTAAATTGATCAAATGTATTATTGCAGCATAACATATATATAAGCAAATAAGCATTTATGATAATTATCTTTGTTTATGAATTTGTAAAAGAAATTTATAACAATAACAATTTGTAACGATTTGATCAGTTTCATGAATCATTATATATGTCAAAAGTTTTAAAAAAGAAACAAATCAACAATATCAAGTCTTTCATAATTTGAAGAAGAGATAAAAATAACATCGTGAAAACTGTTGTATTTTATTGGATTTTGATATCGACTTATCTCAGTTGCTAATGAAACTTACTTCTATCAAGTACATGCACAATGTGCAATCAATCAGGAGCACGTTCTAAGTTACGAGCTAATGATGCCGGAAACTTTGCAGCTTCGAAACAGTTGGGCACCACTGGATCTCGCGTAACAGTGCGAAACGAACCAACATTGGCTTAGAGAAATTCACATTTCTCATGAGTTCGCACAAATTCGCAAGCAAATATGTTTACGTCACGTTTTCGACATAAACTACCTAATTATTCACCAAGAATCTACAGTTTTAGTTAGTTTATGATGAAATTACGAATTACTTATTATAGTGCACAGTTATAGGAATAACCCAATATACTATTTGATATTTTCGATGATTGATATATAATACAAGTCGAAGAATAACAATAGTTATTCTTATTTCAGAAAATACAGTGAAAGATTGGAACTAGAGAGATATAATCGAAATTTAAAGCACTAAGATATATAAACTCGAATCTTTCAAATGTAAAATCTTTGAAAGCATAATAAATTTATGCTTATACAGCATTGAAATGTAGAAATCTTTTGTATGAGAGCATTTAATTTTACGCGCTGCTATTATTCTCTTTTAAAGTTTGTCAAAGCGCGACGTATTTCATATTCCTATCTATTTCTATCATCCTTTTACAAAATTTAAATGGCTAATGATCGAATTCAAACCATCTGCATGAATAATTATGCCCTTGTGCATCAAATTATTGTTGTCCCGTCAAAGAGTCATTCGCGTTTAGAATATAGCATTTATCAGCGCATGTCGTATGAGCTTTTCGTGTATTTACCTTGATTCCACCGCCATGATGCGCCGCGCCCACGCCGTACTCTTAAAGATACTCTATGTGAGATAACGTAAGGAAGTGTATATGTATTATCTCCTGCACAACTGTAACGTGAAATTCATACGCCTCTTGATAACCAACGAAAATAGACGTATGGCTGTTGCACGTGTTCTACACGATCTTGCTGTCGTACTGTCAAAATGGATGTCTCGTGGCCTGATCGAACGCCTCGAAAAAGCGAAGAGCGCAGGATCGAAACCGTACTCGCGGCACCCTTCAAATCTGAAATCCGGCGATGGTCACATTAACAACACTGAAAATAGCTGAAAAAGCAAAAAAAAGGAAAGAAAAATGTATATTACGCATATATATTTGAGAGAGAGAGAGAGAGAGAGAGAGAGAGAGAGAGAAGAGAAGAGAATGATAAAAGTAGAAACTGTTATCGCTCGATGTGCCAATCGATTTTACCTTCTTCTGCATGATAAGATTTGTGAGCAACCAACTCGAGAACGTGCACAATACTAAAGTCTGTGTTTTCTTGAATATAACCGACCGTCTTTACCACTACTACATAACCATTCTGTCCGGAGTAGGATATATACTAATATGAAACTACTACTGTTAAATCGCTGCAACGTTGCCAGCGTTCATGGCCTGCACACCGGATCACCTTGAATTTCCAATCCCAAACAGATGCAGTGTAGATGGTCGGATGGTCGACGACGGATGATCTATATTTGTAGACTATACTCTGACTTTTTCGAACTCTTTGTTTCATTTATCTAATCTGTTAATTTATTTATATGCAAATAAATATAAATTCGTAACAAATATAAACAAGAGTAATAACTATTTCATTTAGTCATTTAATTAAATCACTTTTGTTACTTTTCTTTAATAAGTTACTAAAAGTTACTATCATTTAAAATGATTTACTATAATCACTCTTTTTCCCAAGCTGACTTAAAATTTGTAAATTATAAGTTATAAATATAAGTGTTTTATTCATTATTTTTATTATTTTTATTCATTTTTATTTTGTCTCTTGTCTGATAACAATTGTTCTTACTGTTGATTACTGGATATTTAGTCTGATGTCTGATTATTATTTAGGATAATTACTATTTAAGGCAACCCAAATGTTGCGTGCAAAATAATGTTTTATAAGGAAATTTAAGATATTTCTTCGAGAAATTGAGTTTCTATAGATTTTTTTGAAATTTGGATATTATGTTTAAAATAATTTTATCTATATATTAAATTTCAAAAATCCTAGCTGTGCTGAAATAGAGATATTTATATCTTCAAAATTTTAGCTCTTATCACATAAATTCCTATATTAAGTCTTGTCGAAGTAACGTTTTAATACTTTACGGCGAGAATTTTCTACAGATTAAAAAAAATAAATAAATATGTAATGTAGAAATATTATTGGAATCTTATAAAAAAAATGGGAATGCTTAGCAGTGCCGTTTCTGAATTAGAATAGTTTAAATTTGTAATTTGGTGAAATTCTCCTTCTCGCACGTCAAACGGCGAGACAGGGACATGCTGTTATCACATTTCAATTGTTTTCAGTGCGGACTAGTGCTCGTGTATACAGATACGACACATTTATGCATGTGTATATGATCGTCTCAAAAGTTTCTCTCTTCAGAGAGTACGCGGAGAGACATATTTATAGGTTGTACGCGATTAACTTTCTAGCATGATTGCAGCCGGAGAAATATAGTACACCTTAACGTCCGCGCGCCAATCGCAATCGATCTAGTCGGCGAATTGTCGGCGCGCAATTTCACTCTTACGCAGTTGTATTCAAGCTCTCAATCGCATAAACATTTGGGCCTTATTTTGCATTTCGCGATCTGAATGCTAGACAAGCTGGTGCGGCTGATATACACAAAACGTCGGAAATAAAAACACAATGGTAACAGAGTAACGAGTTACTTTTTAAAAATAATTAACCGTGAATAAAAATAGAATAGTAGATATTTTAACAATTTTTCAGCAACAAATACGAATTTACAAAAACTCAATTTTTGCGAAAATTTTTATTATCCAATACTTTCAAAACTATTTTTAGTTTAATTTTAAAATGGTAAATTGATTTGTAATTGTGAAATAAAAAAATATTTATCTCAATATACAATTTTTATTTTGAAATTATATTTAAGACGAATTTTTGTACAATATATTAGAATACAAAATTTTCAGAAATCAATTTGTATTAAATTTGTATTCAATTTTTACTGGATAATTATCTTTAAAATGAATCATTTTTTTAATTGAATCGATTAATGGCTTTTGTCATTTAAAGTCTATGCTGAAAAAAAATGTTGCAATAGAGCGAGGCTTTTTCTTGCCATAATGTTTATGTTTTTCAACTGCACATATTGAATATTTAAAGATTGTGCTTTTAAAGAGAAATCATAATTGTATAATGTAAGTACATCACTGCAAAGAAATATTATTATAAATAAATTTTCATAACTTTTAAATTGAAACAGAGAGGGAGAGAGAGAGGGAAGGAAAGAGAGAGAGGGAAAGAGAGAGGGGGAGAGAGAGAGAGGGAGAGAGAGAGAGAGAGAGAGAGAGAGAGAGAGAGAGAGAGAGAGAGAGAGAGAGATTGATTGATTGATTGATTGATTGATCTTTATTAGCTTTAATAGCTACAATGTGTGATACAATCTAATATACTGCCTATTTATTAATTATCCGCTAAACATCCCTACCTATACATCTACATTGCACTATCCCTCTCCACTTGTCATATATGGCACTAATGCTCTCTTAAAGTTTTTAAATAAATTAAATCTTTTTTCTTTTCTTATTTCGTTAAGTAAATTGTACATTTTAAACCCATCATATAACAACATTTTCTAGTGTTACATCTTTTAATATATTTCAATCCGATCTTGTTTATATTCCTTCCTTCTTACTTGCTCTATCTCATTTTTTAAATAACCCGGATAATTTCCATTTATCATTGTATCAAAATACGAACATTGTATTCAATTCTTTCCTTAATTGATATAAATTGCAATGCCTCAAGCATATCTTCAATTCTTGTTCTGTAATTGCACTGTAATATAATTCTCATTCCCTTATTTTGTAATTTCTGTAAATACTGCGCATTATAATCATTTAAACTCAATAATATAGCTAAACAATTCAAACAACGGAGTAATTATCGCTTTGTACAATACCTCATGTATAGTGTCAAATTCACTATTGTAATTCGACGAAATGTCCCCAATTTCGATCCTATTTTTTTCCCTAGATAATTAACATGTGCTACAAAATTTAAATTTTTATCTATAATGACACCTAAGTATTTAATTTTACTAATCACTTCTAATGCTATATTTTCTAGTTTTATTTTTGTATTTCTTTCCGATACTTTTTTCCTAATAACCTCTAACTAGCATAACTTTAGTTTTATTCACATTTAATTTCAGTCAATTTATATTTTTCAATTTATATTTTTCAACTATTTCTCAATTTTTTACTATATATTATCTGTATATTAAGATTATTATTTATTTCTTGGCTTGTATATGGCCTATTGTATATATTAGTGCATCAGAATATTATATTAGTTCATTTGTGAATAATCTAATTTCACAATTGTCATACACACTCTCAAGTCATTTATATAGAGTAAAAATAATAACGGTCCTAATTCTGATCCCTGTGGAATTCCCAGCTTCACAGCAATATTATAGATTCTGACAAACTTCTATTAAATTTAACTCTCTGAGTTCTATTTTCTAAATAACTGTTAACTAAGTACTATCCCTCTTATCCCATAACTTTTCATTTTCTTTAACAAAAGATCTCTGTCCAATTCAAATGCCCTTTTTAAATCTAAAAATACAATTCCTCTCAGCTTTCTTTCATCTATACTTCTTTTCCAGCTTGATATAATCCATTAAAAGGCAGTCTTACATGAGTGTTTTGCTTTAAACCCTGATTAGCACTCTTCTAATAATTTATTATCTTCCAAATAGTTAATTGACTCTCTCTCTGTGTGTGTGTGTGTGTGTGTGTGTGTGTGTGTGTGTGTGTGTGTGTGTGTGTGTGTGTGTGCGCGCGCGCGCGCGCGCGAGAGAGAGAGAGAGAGAGAGAGAGAGAGAGAGAGAGAGAGAGAGAGAGCAGTCATCATTTCATTTTTTGTCTGCTATGTATCTAAGAGGAAATAATATTTACAATATATGTATAACATTAAAATTGTATTTATATATTAATATTTAATTATGTTGACAATTATTGGATAGTTAATCCAATATATCTACAGATACGTCAACATTTAGACTAGATATTTAATAATTTGAATAGCACTTAAATAAATAAATGCTTAAATAAAAAATTATAATCTTTGTCATATCGAAAGTACAGCATATTTAAGATTAGCATTTACATGAAAAGAAGTTGTCTTAAGGTTCTCAAGTAACTACTAAAACAGATAAAAATTAATGAATTATATTATTGAAATAATAAATATATAGGCACAATGATACAAATAAAAATCAACGATCACAGTCGCTGGATTGGCATCCCATTACGTATCTACATATTTTGAAGAGCACAACTTAAAAAATACACAACTTATAAAATAACTCACATTCTTTGAAATATAAAAATAACTTTTAATATCAATGTCTAAGATGCTAGATAAATTTAAAAACAATTCACACACGAATTACATACGTATGTACAGATATGCGCAATCTTCTATAAAATACTTACTACAAAATTCATTTAAGATTTAAATACTATGTTAGAGGAACCCTCGCGTATGACTGCTGTTTTGCAATCAAATATCTTTACCTAATATGAAGTTATATACTACTTGCAGAGTATCAATTTGAATCATTGAATCTAAATACAAAGTTATAAAAAATGCGGCCCTATTTCATTTTTATAATTTTTTTGTAATCTCTAAGACTAGGCTTCTTTATTTAACTTGTTTAATATTCTTATTTTTTTTCTTGTTAACTGACAAAAGTTACTTTCATTATTTTCATGATATAAGATAAGAAAAAATTATTCTTATAGTATAACATTCATGAAAAAATAGTACAAAAGAACATGTCTTGAAAAAAATATGAATTTGACAACAAATTTGACGAACAAATATATAAAGACAAAAGAGAAAATTTTGTACAATTTTGATCTATTTCTTATATTATTTTTGAAAAATAAATATAATTCAAAAAATCAATCCTCTTATTGAATATAGTTAAAGAAGAAGTATCGTAGTGAGAATACTTTTGAATACATATTTCGAGTATACAATTGAAATATTGTGTGTAGTAACAAAAGCAAAAAAATTACTTTATCGGTGATTTGATTATTAATTTTCCATTATCTATAATCAAGTTACATAATTATGTATTTAGTTGCTAATAATAATTATACTGATTTTCACTTCTGTGCTTCTTCGCTTAGATACAGAAATTATTCATTGCGAGCAGTGACATGAACTCAGTCAGCAAAAGCATGTGTATTTGACAATCTTCTCTAGTAAATTGTGTCTAAATTCATGTC